TCCGCTCCCTAACCCCCCTTCCCCACCCACACCCCCTCCCCTACCCACTTTGATGCATTTTTCAAATTTCGCCTTGGGGCGGAGTTATGTTTTCACAAGGGGGGTAAGTTACACTTTAATAAGCTCATGTACAAAGTTTACTCCTATTTAAATAAAAATGTTTGACCTGTAAGCAAAAAGCTGATGGATGTTGATGTCTGTAGATAAAGTTTACTATATACTAATCATAGTATGGTTGACAGTTTCAGGAGCTGCGTGAGTAAAACTTCCTCCTCATCCTCTTCTTTGAAAAAGAGACAAAAATATCATCTACAGAATAATATAGCCTACTTATTAAATTACATTTTTATTGAGAGTTTTTTGGACAACCAAAATGTTTTGTAGACAACCTTTTGTCCTGTCAATGGCCGTCACCTGCATGGCTTTCATGTAAGTTATAGTCTGCTTGCAAAAAGCACAATGTGAATGTAAATCACACCAAAGGAAAAAAATAAAGTCTGCTATTTGGTCCGGACCAAACCAGTGGACCAAAGGACTTTCCTGGTGTGAATACACCCTAAAATCCATCAAATAGAMCAGGTTCTGATTGATGTTGGGACTATGAGCACATTCAGAACCTTCTCTCTGTCTGAATGATGTATAATTCTCTGGATAACTGTTTTATGTGAGCAGACCTGCAGCAGGGTTCCATGGATGTGGTTCTGTTGGATCTGGGGTCCCGGTTCTGTTGGGAGATCCTGTATTAAGGACAGGACAACAGAGGGGACCTTAGTGAGGAAAACAAAGGGGACCAGGGCACRAGCAGCCATTTCTCTGGTACGATATACAGCAGAGGAACCGCATCTGCCAAACACAAAGTGACAACATCAACATTACAACAGGACGAACTTCACTGGACATGTTCATGTGTTATTACTGGACATGTTCATGTGTTATTACTGGACATGCTCATGTGTTATTACTGGACATGTTCATGTGTTATCACTGGACATGTTCATGTGTTATTACAGGACATGTTCCCCACAGGGATATAAAAACAAACCTGTGAGTGTGTGTGTAACACCTACCTGATAATTAAAGGGATAAATGGACCAAGACTTAGAGGTGAAGAGGATCCATCCATGGGTGAAGGATAGAGGCGGCTGAGAACCAGCAGCAGTAAGAACAGGCTGGGGTGGAGCTTAACATGGCCACTGTCACTGAACACAAGCAACAGCCAATCAGATGCTAACAATGGTTAATATGTCAAAGGACGTAAAAAACTTTGAAGCAAAAAATCATTGTTTAGCGTACAGACATGAATCAAAAGGCAGAATTATTGTGATAAAACATTTTAGCTCCTTTATGTCTTATTGTATTGTAGTGATCTAACTGAAAGCTCTCCTCTGTGAATTGTCACCTTATGGTGGTGGATGATGACTGATGCTAGGAGCTATGCTGTCACCCCTGGTAGGGTCTCCCTGGACTGGTTGTCCAAGGTCCACATCCAGACAAAGAGCGGTTCAATGCTCCTTGTCCCTCAACACAAGGTGGGTCACCAGGACCCCTCCCTGGAACCAGCTCTTGGTGGGAGGTGAATAGCTGGTGACTGGACCTCAGCCCTAATGAGTTGAATGACTTCACTTTCCTGTGGCTCCACCTCCTGCAGGAGGGCGGGGCCATACGGGTCAGGTACAGTGTGCTACAGGTGAAGGTAGTGGCCTTGGTTCTCTGACCCTGGTTTACCTCTGAGGACTTGGAGAGTCATCTCTCTGATAGGGAAGGAGCCTGTTTGTAGCTGAAGTTTAGAGGTACTGAAATAGTCAGGCTCATCTTGATGCACAGCGTGGGTTCTGAAACCAATATCTTTGAGGGTCTGGACCTTACTCTACTTGGGAACTGCCCATGGTGAGAGGCGCCTGGCTTGGTGACTGAGTGTTGTTTCCAGTCTGGTGGATAAAAGGGTAACGTCCCTGCAGCATCGGGTGAGACTAACCTAACCTAACATTAACCTAACCTTACCTAACATTAACCTACCTAACATTAACCTAACCTTACTTAACCTAACCTAACCTAACCTAACCTAACATTAACCTAACCTTACCTAACCTAACATTAACCTAACATTACCTAACCTAACATTAACCAAACCTAACCTAACCTAACGTTAACCTAACCTAACCTTAACCTAACCTAACCTAACCTAACATTAACCTAACCTAACATAACCTAACCTAACATTAACCTAACCTAACCTAACCTAACCTTACCTAACATTAACCTAACCTAACCTAACCTAACCCTAACCTAACCTAACCTAACATTAACCTAACCTAACATTAACCTAACCTAACATAACCTAACATTAACCTAACCTAACATAACCTAACCTAACCTAACATTAACCTAACCTAACCTTAACCTAACATTAACCTAACCTTACCTAACCTAACCTAACCTTACCTAACCTAACCTAACGTTCAGCTGGAAGGTG